CTCCTCGCTCTCAAATGTCTTTTTCTCCTTGAAGAAACCCCAAACCTTCTTCAGAATGTTCATGGACACGCTGAGTATCCCAAAAGACCTAGCGATAACACCAAGCTCCTTGAGACGAATCATGATAGTCTCGGACTCAAAGCGCTGGTTTTCGTACTCTGACCAGACACAGATAATGATGTTACAGGCTTCTTCGTTCCGCTTGATGCGCTTGAGGAAATTGATGTACTCAAGAACGATGCTGATCTTCTCAACATGAAGCTCCGTCGTGGCCTTCGTACGGCAAGCCTCGAGGATGCCCCGCCAAATGCTGACGTACAGCCTCTCCGCCTGGACAAGATACCCCTTGGCCTCGTAGTCGCGAGCCAAGCGGACAAGGATCTTGATGCAACGGACATCAGTGAAGGAAAGCTCTTCCGTGGTGTCAAAAAGAATATTACGCAAATGGTCAATTTCGACACCCTTCTTGTTTCCTGCTTCGAGAACAACAGTCATACCTGAAATTTCTTCAGCAAGTTTGACCTCGTTCTGTGAGCCTTTGCCGAATCGAGCGATGACAATGATGTGAAGATCCCTGTAGATGGACATCGCAGCCTCTTCCTCCTTGATCTGAACATAGAGGTTGGCGAGAGCTTTGTGCCACTTGATAACAGCATCACTGCGACCACCTTGCTTGTTCTTCGAGATTTCGATCATGAACTTGATCATCTCCTCACGATGGGTGGCTGTGGTTGTCCGCTTAGTAAACGAAAGGGTCTCGGTGCACGCAAGGAATAGGTTGGTGCAGGAAACCACAAGCGGGCTAAACTTGTATAGAATGTTCCGGCCGAGGTTTGAAGCCTTGTATAAAAGCTCGGAGGCGATCTCCCATTCCGCCTGTCGCCTATGAAGGCTTGCCAAGGTGATGAGGCTCTGGAGGTAGGGCGTGCTCTTCTCGCCGAGACACGTATGCCGAATACGGAGACTCAGGTTGTGCATCTCAATGGTTTCCTGGATATCGTACTGAGTTTGCCAGTAGTGCCATTCTAGCATGGAGAAAAAGGTTGAGTCTGGGAAGACTTCTTTGAACTCCGAGTTCAGGCTTATCGTGCCGTTTTGACCACACAAGGACGACGAACGGAAGTGGAAAATCCAATGACGCATCATATAGCTGACGATGTGGTAGGCCTGGAGGACCTCCTGGAAGAATTCTTCGGCAATCGGCTCCAAGGACGGCTCGCAGGTGTGAGTGAACCTTTTCTTTGCGAAGAGGAGGAGGGCCGTGGTAAGGTTGCGATGGGAGTCTTGAATAGACATCAGGGTTGATCCACAGAGACCCTGGAAATACTTCCTGATGGTAGAGTGCTTGAATCGGAGTGTTCCACGACGGACGACAACAAGACCCTGTGTGTTGCGCACAGTGCCCATCACATCGGCGTCAGAGTGAACGGCGCGAGTAGACAAGGATACGCCTAGGAGATCAGTCATCTCGCCAACCGTGAAGGGGCGTTCTGCGGCGACCATAAAGGTTAAGAGGTTGTAAGTCTTGCTTTCCCCATGCTCCTCCTTGAGGTTAACCTTCTTCATGAGCTCCCCGATGACAGCCTTGATGTCGGAGTTGCATTTGGAGATCATGCCCACAAAAGTACCAAAGTCCGAGACTGCTGCGAACAGCCGTCTACAGAGGTATGCGAACAGAAATGAGCCCTTGGCCAGATCGGCAATCTGCTTCACCAGGACCCGTCTGGCGTCCGGATTTTGGGACATGAAGCAGTCATTTTGGCTAAGCCTGTTGGCAAGATAGAGCTCAACATCATCGCGGACGTGATCTGGCGTGATGACCAAATGCTTGCAGTGGCTGCCGCCAAGGTGTGATACGGGTCGTGAGAGAGTGATGGCTTGGATCATCTGGAGCTTGCTGATGCTAGTGTGAAGGCGCTTGTGAAGCTCTTCTGCCTTGGCCGCGCCGCCCAGGACTTCATCCAGACCGTCAATGACGAATACCAGATTAACCTTTTTATTATTAATAGAAGTCAAGCTCAAATCAAGAGCCGTCCAGAGGTCTGCCTCGAGCTTTTCGTTGTTGTGGTGAGGAGATCCATGCTCAAAGATTACTTCAAGTTTCTCAAAGAGTGAGACATCCCCCACGTTGATCTCAAGAAGCTGGGAGAGAAGACTCTTCAAGAAAGCGATAGAGGTATTCTCCGAAGGGATTTCAGCTGCTGAGAAGATAATATTAGCGAAGCTGGCCTTTTTAGGTAACGTTTCATCTTTCTACTCACAGAATGTGTAAGAGAGGGTTTCGTATTGAGTACGGTTGATGGGGCGTTCTAGCCTTTCTCTCATCCATGTTGCAAGTATGCTTTTGCCACAGCCTTCACCTCCAGTGACGGTGAAGATGTCTTTGTCGCTGCTAAGGAAGTCGTGTAGGTCACGGGAGAGCCATTCGCATGTGCCGTCGACCCGCAGTTTGCGATCGGCGACACGGCCATAAACATGTGACTTCACTGACTCCCTTGTGGGAAACAGGTGCCGACGCAGGGTGGTGATATCAAGACGACGGCTTTTGCTACCAAGTTTGTATTGCCACATGTGGTTGAAAAGGTGCTCCCTCTGTGTCCAGATCTTGGTGACTTGCGAACCAAACTGGGCGTCAAAATTAATCGTGACCGATCCGCTGGAGATACTGTTAATACGTGTTCGGTAATGAATAGCAATGTCTCCGACGAGGCGGACCATGCTGTCGAAGATGCAGCTGAGCTCATAGCGAATGGCGTCACTCGCAGTGAACATGCCCTTGAGTCTAACGGCATGGCCGAGCAACAGGCCAAGCTCGTAGAGGGCATTGAAGGTCGGCTCCAAAGCTTGAGCTTGGTCATGGCCGAGCTATCAAAGGAGCGTTAGGGTTGTACTAGAAGACGTCGGGTTGAGCTGTGACTTACCTCCAGCAACAGATAGCAAGTGGCCAAAACCGTGTCTCGAGCCAGGGTACAACCCTCGATAAAAGACTGGATGTGGCGAGAGTATCCGTCAAGCTGGAAACCGAAGAACTCGGCTGACTTCAACACGCGGTCCCATTGGCTTCCCTTGGGGGGCATGTGAACCAGACGCTCATCGGCAATATAGGCAAGGTAGGCCTCAAGATCGATGCTCTGAAAGTGTTGATGGGAAACTTCCTCGACCTCGCGCACCAACTTCTTCTGGATGCGTCTGGCGGTGTCGATGACCCGTACAATCTTATTAGACATGTGTGCTTCGTTGGAGGCGACCATCGTCAAAGCGTCCAAGCTGATGGAGGACGACCGAGAGGTATCGCTGGTGACCATTTCCTCGGCTTGAGAAGCACTAGGCTCCTCCTTGATGGAATGCCTGGCCAGCGATGGCTGGTTGGTTGGTGTGTAGACAGACATCTTGGTATCAGGGGCGGGGGTTACGTTGTCGATGGACTCAGCAACGTCTGAGGCTAGAGACTGGAGTGACGAAGAAGTTGAGGTACGCTTCCGCCGGCCTGTATAAAGTCGATGAAACTTCAGTTGCAGTTCTCCAACAGGTAATCTAATCAATAGAAGGGGGGGGTTGGCAACACACTCAATGGGTTTTTGCGAAATCCAAGCATGGTCAGGAATTTGATGCTCTTTACCACACTCAGGTTCTCGGGGTTTAGGTTCCAATTATAAAGGCGGTTTACAACTCTGTCATAAAGGCCTTGGAGAGCCAACTCTTCGTATTACGGCCATTGAGGGTGATCTCCGATTCTTGCCAAGACAACGATCTCTGATTCCTCATTGAGACATAGGCTTCCGAAGCTCGTCCCTGACTGGAGGGGCTCGGAAACTCGCATTTTGCTGAACACGCTCGCGTCGATCAAGGCATGAGTAAAGGTATCTAGCTTGGCTGAATTGGTAGGGATTCGCACATCAAAACAAGGGGAAGCTGCCCCATAGAGACCGCGCCCAGAAAGATAGACCCGAACAGAGACAAGCTTGCAGTGAGCGGGGAACGAATTGTCTGATAGTCCCAACCATGTCTTGATTTAGGGCAACTCCTCTGTCAGATCAAGGAGAATTGGATGTAAGAATTGGAGATAAATCTCAAAATGCATGTTAATGAAAGCTTCATACCATCACACTCATGGCTGGCGGATGGCTAGGATGCGTAGTCCAGATATTGGGCCCCGCATGTGGCAGTGAGCTGCAGGCGTTGATGGAACCGTTCAAGGACGGCACTTGAATCATGGAAACTACCTCACTTTTGGTTGTTAGACCCAGATGCAACTTCTGGGAACGGTCAGAATTTGATCATGGTCTGCGGAGTGCCATCAAGATCAGGGAGCTAGATTCGTATGAATTGCAGCAACGAGCAATCCCGTGCTGCAGGGGACGCAGATCCCTCGATGGTTGCTTGCACGCAGCTGACTGAACCGGATATGCCGAGCGGTAAACTAGACCGACTTAGGAAACCCCGGGCGGGTGTCTCTCCCGATATCCAGGCGCATGGCGGCACCCCTTGCAGACGTGTAAGACTGGTACTTCCGGCAAGTTAAAGCTATTGGCTCCTTTCATTATCGGCGACTAAGCCCTAGAAAATGAGTCAAGATTGAAGAACGAAAACATCAACAGATACCTCGCCAGTCAAATACGAGAGGCATCAAAGTTTGCCAAGTTTTCTGGCTCTCAGCAGCACGATACACTGGAAATGAAGCGATGGGAAGGATGATGTTGACGATCACAGCGAAGTGCACTTAATCTAGCAGACGTATAGACCGGCCGAATTAGGTTAGGGATGAGAGAAAGGATTCCACATTGATCGAGATATGTCTCATTTATTCTAAAGCTCTCAATGATTCGTGATAGCTCTCATATGTGTGTTCTTTGAGAAAGAGGCAATATGAGACATCGTGCCGACCAACATCAGCTATGGGGCGGCTGAAATGGAGCGGATTCCACCCTCGCTCCTTGAAAAACAATCTTCATACCAGTCGTTAAGCTTTGCGTGATAATATTCAGTAGACACTGAAATCATCAGATGCTGTGTCCAACGTCGCGACCAACTTCATCCTGGAAGCCCATGCCGTTGCGGATACGGCTCTCGATCTCGACGACTCTCTTGGGTAGCATGAAGCCCAAGCCAAAGAAGACGAAGAAGGCCCACTTCCATCGGAACGGGTTGAAGGTGACGCTGAAGGCAAACCACCAGATGAGCTCGAGGTAAGTAAAGAAGTCAAAAGCACCAGTGGGAGAAGCGGATTTAAGAAGCTTGGTCATCTCGATCCAGGCCTTCATCCAGAACGGATGCGGTCTTGTCATGGGATCAATGAGGAACATGAGGAGAATCCTGGTGTAGATACCAATGTGCCAGTTACCGACGGTTCCAATGGCTGAAACGTATGTGCTGTGGTATGTTAGAGCCGACTCTTTTGATCTCGGAACAGAGAGTTGCTCACCAATTGATAGCAGAGATGGAGGGGTGGGAAGGGGGGAAAGTCTGGAGGTACCAGTTGGGAGGCTGATACGGCTCGTTGAAACAGTCATCGGGAAGGAAGTCCAACGAGGGACGCTTGTAGCCAGTGGCCATGACGATGATGTCCGCAGGCACAACCTGTCTTCTGCCGGGTCCTCCCTTGGGAACGCCCTGCGCGCGTTTGTTGACAATGACTCCGTCGGCAGTAAAGCCCTCAATGTCGCAGCGAATCCACTCTGCACGGCCGGATCGAATGGTGTCCATGACTTGGCTGTTAACCATCGGCGTGTCCATGTAGATTCCCTTGTCGTGGGGTGCGATCCCCTGCAGGTCTCGGTAGAAAAGCTTTCGCAACAGAGTCTCAGGGATCCATGACAGGCGGGTTTCTTGGCCCAGGATATTCATGGCGAGGAGCATGTTTACGATCGGGTTGCGGGGAATAATCCACTTGTCACTGCGAGACAGAATATAAGTTTTGTCTGCCTCCTCATCCACGGCAAACTCCAAGGCTTCGACAGCACTGGCGCCGCCGCCGATGACGACCATCTTCTTGCCCTTGGCGTTCTTTCTATACAGGGTGTTAGCACCAACATTTTTGATAAGAATTCCCAAAGCGAACATACCCGGTCAGCTGGCTGGAGTGGTAGACGTGACCCTTGAAGTCCTCGATGCCCGGGAGACGGGGCATCTTGGGCTCACCACATGTCCCGACGGCGGTGATGATGCCTTCAAAGTGGCCATTGGCGGTGTTGTTGATAACCCATCTGCCCTTCTCATCCTGATAGACCTTCTCGACGGGCGTGTTGAACTTGGTGCGGGTTTCCAGACCATATTTGTGCCAAAGCTGCTTCACCTGGCTGAGGATCTGTTGTCTGTCTGGGTATCCGCGCTCCCACTTGACCGAGGGATGAAAACGGAACATCATTGAGTGGATTTGCAGGCTCGAAGAGTTGTTCACTTTCTGTAGTCGCTGTCAGCAGGCATCACATTTAGCAGGATCGTTCCAAAAAAGGGACATTACACTCCAGATGCCGCCAAGGTTCTCGCGGCTACCAGCCTCGAAGATGACGACGTCGAAGCCATGCCCAATGCAATGGGCGGCGGAGGTAACGCCAGTGATACCAGCTCCAATGACAGCGACCTTGGGCCGGCTCAGGCGTGTGCTCGGCTCCGGGGGCGTGGGCGAGAAGATCTTGTCGGCAAACCATTGCCAGAGCTGGAAGATGAAGAGGAGGGGATGGAAGAAGGGGTTCTCGACGCGGGATTCGGAAGGCATGATTGCGAGGAGGCCGCAGGCCGGCGTTCGATTTGGAAGTGGAGTTTTGTGGTGCACAAGCACAGCAGTCGGTCGAATGGCTCTGCGATAGAAATTGGAGAAGAATAAAAAGCCCACGATGGGAAGACAGGGAGAGGAGAGGGCAGCCAGCTATATCAACGAGTACGGGAATGCTTGCACGGGAAATGTGCCTTCCTACCTGCTAGGGGGATGCTCCTCTCAAACACGAGCCTAGGAAGCTCCGGGAGCTCTGGGCAGCTCGACTGGCATGTGAGCGCAGTATGCTCCCCTCCTTCCCCTTCCCTAATACCCCTGAGCGCTGTTTGCTAAACTAAACTAGGTAGGCAGACTTAGGTAGGTATGCACGAATACTTGGCAAGGTTAGGTGCAAAAGGTGAGAGGCCTGGCGAACAGGCCCACCCGATTGTGTACTATTGACGTCACTATGAACGCCAGGGACATCACGACCCGTTGAAACACGGCATTGAAGCATGTGAAGACGAGGACGGGGGCTACACTACGCATAATAGTCTCATCAACACAAGATTGGCGCGGACCGGACCCGCGACCTGGGGTTATAGGATGTACCTACCTCAGTTGGTGCCTCTATCGCAGGCAAATGGAGAGAGAGCTGCAAAAGCCCATTGGTGACATCACTATTTCGCTCTATAATAGAGGGGCATATTGTACAGCAGAAAACCAAGGCCAAAAAAGTGGTTGATACAGGGCTATGGTGCGGTAGGGCAGTGGGCTAGTCTACATCACTGACTGGTAGGTGCCTGTTAGAGCCGAAGAGCTAACTCCAAAGAGTCGATGCTCGTTCCATCGGGCCTTTGATGAGACGAGTTCCTGGCCGATCCGACTGGCATCCATCCCACTTCCGCATGGACTTCGCCAACGGGGTGGGAAAATATTGAAGACGAAGAATCAAAAAAGAAGGGGAAAATTTTTTGAAAGAAAGGGAAATGAGAAGAACCAGGTATGAGCACATGAGGAGTATACTGCACCACAGCAAACACACAATGGCGATGCGTTGTGGAAATATGGTTGGGCTGGCTGAGCCGCACTCGGCTCTTGGCATCTCGGCACATCCTCTCTCGCTTCTACACTAAGCGCTGATGCTCCGTCTACTTTTGAGGGGGGGTATATGCACCTCCGTCTATCGCTTGCCTCTGTCGCGTCTGCCCGCCTCCAACATCTTGGCCTTCTTTTGGAATCTCTCGCCCATCTCCATCTGCCCACTGCCCCTTGGTCCGTCCGTCGTCTCTCTGCCACGCTTTCGGCTCTTGTCGAGCAGGTCGCGGGTGCCGCCACCACTCTTGCGCGCGGTGAGTCTGTTGATGCGGTCAACACCCTCGCCCAGATCTCTCCATTCCTCTCCACCGAACTGCATGCGACCGCTACGACCCGTCTTTGCCGCCTCCTGCGCCTTTGCCTTCTTGCTCTGTGTAGGGAGGCGGACGAAGTTGGTTTCTTCGTACTCGCGACGCTCCTCTTCCGTCTTGCGGTCTGCCGCCGTCTTCATCCTGCGACCGCCGTTGACAATTGTTGTGCCGATACTGGGTTCCGCGATGGGTGCTGTCGACATCTCGTGCTCGATAAACTCGTCCATGGTGGCAGACTTGAGCGGCCGACGCTCTGTCTTCTCCCGGCGCTCCGAGGGCATGACTGTAGGTGCGATCCTTGGCGGTTTGTAAACACCATCCTTTTGAGCAGTGGCAACTGCAGCAGATGCAGCAGCCGGTCGTACAAAGGCATCCGGTCGGGCTTGCAGGTGGGCTGCCTTCAGTTCCTCGTCTTCGTCCTCGTCCTCGTCGCTACCGGAGTCATCGTCGGATCCAGATTCGCCCGAGTCAGCACCCTCCGCAGCCTTCACGGCGTGGGCGTGGCGTTCAGCGTCGTCGGCAGCACGAAGGATCTTCTCAATCTGGTATCGCAACTTGTCTTCGAGAGGGCGGACACCCTTCTCGAGGTATAGCCTCAGCTCTACGAGCTTCTTAACGACCGTCTCTGTGGTGTCGTCGGCGTTTCCATTGTAGTTGGACTGCTTCTTGGCGTTGCGTAGCTTGAGAAGAATCAAGAAGACGAGGTTCTGTAGGTAAGAGAGCAGAAGTTCGTTCTTGGTGTCGAGCAGGGAAATTCCATTCTCGGGAGGCGCAATCGAAGTCTTGGGCGCAGCGTCCAGTGAAGTTGTCAATGACTGCGTCAGTGAATCCAGGAGAGCTGGAAGAGTACTTGGCGCTGCCATGATCAACCTGGCAGTGTTTTTTCTTTTGGTTTTTGTTGGTGCTGGAAGAAAATTCGAGGTCGTAGCAGAACAGAGGCGGACCGATCCAGGAAATTTTTCTTTGCAACCAACCGCCAAAGAGATCTGCGAAATGCGGAACCAGGTACGGTGGCGCCAGTGGGTCCCCTCAGAGGCTAGGATCCACTGTCGCTGGACCCCTGTCAGCACATCTCCCAGCAACTGCAGTACCTACCTCAGGCATGAGCTTCCGGAATGACAATGGTCCGAGAGTGCAGCTTAGTCCAGGTCCTAGTGACGCGCCTGGGGTGACTAAGCCAGGTTTGGGACAGTTGTTCGTGGGAGCAGGAGCTCTGCTTGAGAACGAGATACGAAGTTTAACGGTCCTGAGACATCTAAAGTTGATAGGCAATCTGTCCATCTTGAAGCGATAACTCTACTTCTGCCCAGCACGATCGCCAGCTCTCGATCTTCTTCTTGCACCGTTTGCTACGACTCATTGCCAGGTGCAGCAAGAATTCGGATGATCCGCCCCCTATAAGTCGCTCTGCGCTACCTACCTCACACATCCACGGGTACGTAATTACGATTCTGGGAGTCATTCCCGGCTGTTTCAATTTTTTTGCCATTCTTTTTCTGGACGGCACCTATCCTCCGTGTTGTCCCAAGGCTGACAACAGACACATGACAGAGGTACGGCCAGTCAAACAAGATGCAACTAAGAGATATGACGCCTTCATCGGCGCTGCTCGCCTCGCTGCTGGCCATTCCCCAGTTGGCGTCCGCATTTTACCTCCCAGGTGTTGCGCCGACATCGTACAAGAAGGGCGACCTCGTTCCCCTCTACGTCAACAGCATCAAGCCCGTTGCCGCTCCATCCGACTCCCGATTACATGCGATCGATTCGTACGACTACTACCACCCTGGCTTCAAGTTCTGCGAGCCTACGCCCCGTCCTCAATATGTGTCAGAAAGCTTGGGCAGCATTCTGTTCGGTGATCGCATCATGACATCTCCGTTCGAACTCAAGATGAGGGTCAACGAGGAGTGCAAGTCCCTATGCGCTCAGAAATACCCCCCGGCCGCCGTCGGATTCGTGAAGCGTCGCATTGAACAAGGCTATAGCTTGAATTGGCTGGTGGACGGCTTGCCTGCTGGGCAGCAGATTTACGATGACTTCACGAACACGACTTTCTACAACCCCGGGTTCCTCATTGGCGGCGACGACGAGAACGGCAACATCATATTCAACAACCATTACGATATCAACATTGAGTATCACCCGGTTAACGGTGACGAGTCGCAATTGCGCGTTGTCGGTGTTGTGGTCGAGCCGAGCTCGCGTGCCTACCCGGGCTCACCTGACTGCACCAGCAAGGTGGAGCCTATTATTTTCGAGGAGGACGGCACCGAGAAGGAAGTCAAGTTCTCGTACTCGGTAAACTGGGTCGAGTCTAAGACGGCTTGGGCCACGCGCTGGGACAAGTACTTGCATGTTTTCGACCCCAAGATCCACTGGTTCTGGCTCATTGACACTGCCATCATTGTCATCATTCTGATACTCACCGTCATGTCCATCCTGGTCAAGACCCTGAAGAAGGACATCGCCAGGTACAATCGCTTGGACCAGATCAACTTGGATGATCTCTCGGGTACCTCGGCCCTGGAGGACGGTGTCCAGGAGGATTCTGGATGGAAATTGGTCCACGGCGACGTTTTCCGCAACCCATCGAACCCCCTGCTCCTGTCAGTGCTCCTCGGAAATGGCGTTCAGCTTTTCGTTATGACCGGATTCACAATCTGCTTCGCTTTGCTCGGTTTCCTGTCACCCTCCAACCGCGGGTCGCTCGGAACAATTATCCTTCTCCTTTACACCTTGCTGGGCTTCGTTGGCGGATACGTTTCTGCGAGAACGTACAAGTCGCTCCAGGGTGAGAAATGGAAGGTGAATATTGCGCTGACCCCGATCTTGGTGCCAAGCATTGTTTTCGGGGCTTTCTTCCTCCTGGACCTCGTCCTCTGGGCGAAGGAATCTTCTGGCGCCGTACCCTTCACCACCATGCTGGTTATTATTGCCATCTGGTTCATTCTCTCGGTGCCCCTATCTTTTGCCGGGTCTTGGATGGGTTTCCGTGCCCCCGTCGTCGAGCCGCCTGTCAGGACCAACCAGATCCCCCGCCAGATCCCCCCTTCCACGACGTACCTCAAGCCGATCCCCAGTATGCTCATCGTTGGCCTCCTGCCTTTTGGCGCCATCTTTGTCGAGCTTTACTTCATCATGAGCTCCGTCTGGTTCAGCCGAATCTACTACATGTTTGGTTTCCTATTCCTCTCGTACGGTCTCATGATCGTCACCACGGCCGCAGTAACCATATTGCTGGTGTACTTCCTCTTGTGCTCCGAGAACTACAACTGGCAATGGCGCTCGTTCCTCGCCGCAGGCATGAGCGGCGGCTACATCTTCCTCAACTGCCTCTTGTACCTGTTCACCAAGCTGAACCTCAGCAACCTGGCCGGCACCATACTTTATATCGGCTACAGCGCGCTCATTTCCTTCTTGTTCTTCATCCTCACGGGTAAGTCTCTCCCTGCCAGGTCCTGTTTGAACCCCCGCTGACAAACCCCTCACAGGATCCATTGGATACTTCGCCAGTTGGTGGTTTGTGAGGAAGATTTACGCCTCGATTAAGATTGATTAAACAGCGTTGCATTGGGGCGTTAGCATGTGGCGTTTGGATCGCGCACCTGTACGAACATGGATTGTAAAAAAAAACTCACACCTTAAGCCCGCACGAGTGTTATCTTGTAGTCTTGGCGAGAGCTCATGCACAGCGCAGCTGATTGGGAAATGCGCTAAATGGGTCGGCTCTCTTGTGAGATGGTAGATGGCATTGGTCGGTAGACGAAAAATGAACCGTTTCAGCAAAAGAGAAAGGCGCTCGTTATAACGGACTGGAAATGTGCCTCCTAGTGAAGCGTGTATATAGTATGGATGAGCCAGCTCGCCGACTACTCATCATCGTCGTCATCGTCCATGAGACTAGTGAACTGGAACTGCTTGCTCTTCCCGGCCGAGGAGGCACCCGCGCCGGCGGCGACGCTGTCGCGCCGGTACGCCTCCTGCTGCTCGCGGCGAATCTTCTCCATCTTCTCCCGGTACTCCCGATCCTTCCGCTCGTTCTCGAGCTTCTCCTGCTCTTCGCGGGCCCTGCGCTCCTCTTCCTCCTTACGCTTCGCCTCGGCGATCTGCTGCGGGTCATAGCCCCGCGGGTCAATTCCCTTGTCCGACAGGTCCTGGTAGACGGCCATGGCGCCGCTGCGGATCTGGAACTCGTTAGGCCAGGGGATGAAGCTCGCGTTGAAGTGCGGGTTGAGGTGGTTCCGCAGGCCGTCGGGCAAGGACGTCGCGCCGCTCGTCGCGGCCGTTTGCTGGATGCCCTGGTGGGCGTCATGCAAGGGGCTGCTGTTGGGCGCGCCCGAAGGGCCGGGGGTCTGGCTCTGGCTCGGTGTCGGGACCGCGCTGACGGGTTGGCTTTGGAGGCCGTTGGCGCCCGGGGTGTTGGGGTTGGTCGTCATGCTTGCGTTCAGGTCAGGGCCCGGGGTGCCTCCGCCGGTCGTGAGGCTGCCGCCGTTGATGAGAGCGGCGGGCGGCAGCGTGGTCTTGCTGATTCGGCGGGCGTAGTTTAGGAGCTCATCATATTTGACAGGGTACTTGGGTCCGTCCGGATAGACGGTGATCTGAGTGGTGGTTATGTCCTTACGGGTCGTCGCCAGGCTCTGAAGGGTCTCTCGGATTTGGGTATCGAGGGAGGAAGTCGTGGCTCGGAGCTGCTGCAAGCGGATGTGATTGTTCTGGTGGGCTTGGACTGCGCGGGTGAGAACATTAGCTCGGTTACAAGAAAGCTTCCGTGAGCTTGGTGCATACCCTCGTCGAGCCCCTTTGCGAGATCATTGTCGGCCTCGTACAGGTCCAATGCCTGCTTCGGGTGCGGGTGATATTTGGAAACCGATTCGATGAGAATGGCAAGAGCCTTCTCAACACGCTCGAAGCGCGCATCAATGACCTTGTCCATGTTTGCCTCAAAAGGGTTCTTGAATCAGCCGACGTTGCTGGTCAAGCTGATGGAGGTGCGGAGGAGAGGAATTGGGGTGCAAGGCTGAGCTTGGTTCGCTCGTAGTTCCGCTAAACCGCAGGCAGGACCCACCATATATCCCACGCTGATTGGTTGTAGGTTTCAATGTTCTCTCGCAGCCTGTAGCCTGAGGCGCATTGGGAATCCGGCCGGCTTTTCCCGCCGACAAACTCGCGCAACATCACCATTTCTTCACGGCGCTCCCTCTTTTGCATCTGCAATTGAATCCCCCAGTTCGTTCGCACGACCACTACATTCAAGATGTCTTCTCCCGTACGTCACGACCGAAAAGGCCTATAGCTCGCATCCCATTAGGCTTCGAGGGCATTTCTCTCCATGGCTCAAAACTGACACCACTATCTGACCAGACCGGTATTCAGTACCCTACCTACCGCAGCAAGTTCGGTCCCAGGTACGTCTTCGACTCTTCCCGCGATCTTACTTTCCTCGTACCGTCGTCCGAACGAAATACCCGGATACAAATGCAACGAAGAGACGCACGAGCCCGAGGCACATATACGATGACATGATGAGCTGACTGAACGGCTTTAGGTACCACAAGGTGCCCCATGTTGGCGGCTGGACTGTTTCCCAGGCCGTGAAGTTGTGAGTCACTTTCCGGAATCAAGCCAGCGATTGCGAATACGGTCATTCTCGCAGGGTGGGGGATGTTTTGGGTTCGGGCCACTGCTGAACGGAATGCCGTTCGGTGCAAGACGGAGGGAAGCCGGACCACCGATTGATTGACATGTGGACAATCGCGACTGCCAGAAAACCAAGCTGACAGTTGACAATAGCGGCGCCCGTGCTGCCGGCTTCGGCGCTGCTGCCGGCATTGGCGCCCTCTTTTTCACCTCTGGCATTCCCAGAATCCAGCGTGACATCCTCATGGTGCGACAAACCACATCCCTGCTCTGAAGACTGGCCGGGCTGTTTGCTGACCCCTTGTGCAGAAGGTTCCCGTCATTGGCCAGGTCTACGTGAAGGAGATCCCCCCCTCTGACAACGTATGTATTCCTCGCGAGTGAAAAGTATGGGTCGAATATGCTAACTTGGTGATGATAGCCTTTCTAACTCCTCGACTCGGCCTGGGCGTGCTCTACCAGAATTGGAAATGGATTTGCAGCATTGCAGACTTGGAGTTGTGAGATTGAGGAGTGTACTCCCTTCGGGGCTTGTATAAAAGATACAATAGACTCTTGAACTTCAGCCGGTGTTTGATTTAATTCAGTGACATTGATAGTACTTGCTCTCTCTATATCTTGATGTGAGGGAAGTTTGAACTCTGTTTGAGTAAGCAGCAAGAAGAAGAAAAAGGAAGAAAGACAAGAAACTGGAGTTGAATTGCCCCATGCATATTTCGTGCTCAATCCATGCTTGTGGAAGAAAGAAACGAACACCGTGCGTGGACAGTGCGAGGACGCATGACTGCTCACTCACAGGCATTTGGCGAACTGTTCACTTTCTCTCACTTCACTCGCCAGTGTGAAAGAGGGCCATCACTGCAGGAGTTTCTTAGCCTAGTTTTGTTTTCAGGGTTCACAACCTTTGTCCGCGTTCACTCTTTTTCAACCGATTTCCTTTCCTTGCGCAAAGTCTCATTCGACCTCGATCAAATCATCGCCCGCAAGTCGCATACTATATCCAGTCGTTCCTTTACAACCCTGCCTTTCTGGGCACCTTGTTCAGCATGAAGGCAGTCGAAGCCTTCGTAGATGGCCTCAACATTCTGTCTGTTGTCGTTCTCTACACGCTGCTATGGCTCATCACCCCGAAGATGCCAAACCCTGACCCTTCAGGTCCAAAGACAAACAAGGTTTACGACGTACTCATGCGGGTTTCATACATCATTATCTTCATCTTTGGCTGGATCTGGTGCAGCAATGTCATGGCCCATGTCGACAAGCCGTACTTGGTCAATTCATCCGCTCTCTTGCAATCCAGAATTCAATACACTGACACATGTATAGGATGAGGTTTTTCACATCCCTCAAGCGCAAAAGTTCTGTCAGGGACGGTGGGATGAGTGGGATGACAAAATCACCACGCCTCCCGGGCTGTAAGTCATCCTTACCCCGTCTCTCCCAAAGCCCACGGAACCCGCGGGACTGACAAGCCCACTCCAGATACATCCTTTCCAAGTACTACCTACAGGTGATGATGAGACCCGAGTGCTCCGTTCTTGACCTCCGCGGCGTCAACATCATCGCCGTCCTTGGCGTCGGCATCCTTGCAACGCACTGTCGCCACCTCCTTGAGACCCGCCGCCCCGATGGCCAGTCTCCGGCGCCGCCCGCCGTGCTTTCCTTCTACTCGATCCACCTCGGTTGGAACGTCGCCCTTTTCCCTGTTCTCTTCTTCTTCTCGGGTCTGTATTACACAGATGTCGTCTCGACGTTATCCGTGTTGGTGGCTTACTACCATCACCTTTGCCGAGTGCGCGAGGAGAGGAGCTCGTTGTTAAGTGATTGGTCGACCATTGTCCTCGGTTGCTTCACCCTCATCATGAGACAGACGAACGTTTTCTGGGTCGTCGTATACATGGGCGGTCTAGAGGCCGTAGCGGCCGTCAAGGCTCTATGCCCCCCGCCCGTACCGAAAGCTAACATGACGACACTGGGGGAGTATATCAGATTCTACACCTGGAGATACTCTATCGGTGATGTCCATGACCCGCCCCTCAACGCTGCATGGCCAGATGGTTCGTCCCCTTCTCCTCCGATTGAAACTCTCTGCTGACTGTCTCCAGATCTCTTCTTCTCTGCCCTAAGCATCGGCATCGCAGCGCTGGCGAACCCTCTCCGCATCCTGAGGAAAGTCTACCCGCACATCACCATCATGGCTCTCTTCGCCGGCTTCGTGTACTGGAACGGCGGCGTGGTATTAGGTTTGTTGACCCCCGCAGGTCTTGGTTTGTTCGACTCTAACTCCCGACAGGTGACAAGTCTAACCATGTCGCAACGCTTCATCTAGCCCAGATGCTCTACATCTGGCCCCTCTTCGCCTTCTTCTCTTTTCCGCTCTTCCTCCCTTCCGCCATTCGCGTTCTTCGTTTCGTCCGAGGTTTCGCCAGCGCACTCTTCAGAAAGGCCGCCCCCAAGCCTGTGGGATCCGGCCCCTCGGTGCCGGACCGCAAGCATCTGCTGACTAACTCTTCCCGGTCCGGTTCGTCTAAGAAGCAAAAGACCCATCCCCAAGAGTCAACCAACCTAGCAGGGTTTCCATTCACAGACTCTCTCGTAAGCTCGCCCATTCTGAACGCTCTCCAATTCCTCGTCCAATCCAAGTTCTACAATCTCGTCCTCACCCCTCTCCTTGCCCTCATTACCCTAGCCGTCATCCGCTTCAACACCATCATCCACCCGTTTACTCTGGCCGACAACAGGCACTACATGTTTTACGTCTTCCGGTACACGATCCGCCGCCCCGGCCTGTTCCGATACTACCTCGTCGTCCCCTACACCGTCGCCCGCTGGCTTTGCTGGGACGCCCTTAGCGGCTGCGGCCAGGGCGGGTTCTTGTCAGGCCACACAGAAGACTGCTCGGGAAGATACACTACCTTCCGCCCAGGCCCCTTTGAGAACAACCCATTCAGCTCGACCCTCCGGGCGCGCGCGGAGAAGCCGCCTTTAACGGAGCCCGCAGAGGAAACCGAAGCCACCGCGCCCAGCGACGAGAAGGGAGGAAAGGGGCGTTACGACCCCTTGGCCATCGTCACCCTTGCCGACCCGACCTCGCAGAGCACAGAGCCCCCCGCCACCTCCACCGCCATTCTTCTCCTCCTTGCCACGACCCTGTCTCTGATGACGGCGCCCCTCGTAGAGCCGCGTTACTTTATCCTCCCCTGGGTCTTCTGGCGCATTCTCGTCCCGGCGTGGAGACTCCACGAACACGCCGTCACGCACCCAGGCCTGACCAAGCTCGAGCATCTCCCGGGGCTGGGTACCCTCGTTAGGTTCGGCAAGAACTTTGACGTCCGACTCATACTGGAGACGCTGTGGTTCATGCTGATCAACGCAGTGACCATGTACATCTTCCTTGCTAAGCCGTACATGTGGAGGTCTGAAGATGGCAGAGTCTTGGAGAATGGTAGGATGCAACGCTTCATGTGGTAACTGCTTCCTTTACAGCGCTACGTAACCACCGGACTTTGTTGAAGGAGGGTCACAAAATATTTGAAGTGTAGAGACAAATATAAGATACATAACCTGAACCGAGACTTTCATTCCCAGTGTGATTTTCTCAACTTAAAGCTTTTCTGTTGCACTTTTATGTGCTCTACCCCATGTCGGGTTCCTGGTTGTTTCGATAAAAGAGAATCATGAGTTCCAAACGCCGTCGACTTCCGTAATCCTTGTGGATTTGGTGTCACCCTTCCGGATGTGTCATTTGAGGTTTTTTGTTGCGATGCTGTTTCCCTTGTGCCACCTATGTACCCATGTGATTCCCAACGCCCCCGTCATATCTGTTCTCGCAACCATCTTACGTTCCTGCGGAGGCCATGGCGGTTTTCTATAAACTCAGTCGATCCAAACTGAGGCGGTCGTTACTGCGTACCCTCCGAATGGTGCCGAGCTTGAAGAATTTCTCCTCGCCGGCGGCGGTCCGTCCACCAATGTACCATTTGTCGGCACCCAGCACGTCGCGGAATCCTTCGCTGCTGCTGTCGCTCCCGCGCCGTCGATTCGGGCCGCCGGGTATGGGAACGCCTCCGCGCGGAGAATGCAGTGGATATTGGTTTACAACCCCGGCGGACGAGCGCGTCGCTGAGTTCGCACTGCCGCCGTTGCCGGCGCTACTTGGCGGTGCATTTGACGAGATGGCCCGGGGCGCTGATGCGGCGGACTGAGTTGTATAGGACGAGGACGAGGACGCTTGGGTGGAATGCTTGTTGGGCTGTTGTGACGAAAGCGTGGCCGCAGAGGGGGACTGTTGTCGGAAAGAAGCGAAGAAAGTAGAAAGAAAGAAGGGTCGTTGGGAGGGCATCGTGATTCTATCTGACCGTGATGGTGGCGGTCTCCGTCACAGTGTGGTGATGGTGTTGGGCGTGAAAGTAGCGGTATTGTTATTCGAGGGAGGAGGGGAGATGTTTATGTTTTGACGTAAGGGCGTATTCCTGCTTGTGGAAGGGTAAAACCTGACACTTCGTTTGGGAACCCCTATACTCCCAGTATGGTCTTTCAGTTTGCTGGGGTTTAGTCTGTCATCCGTGCCCGAGCCGGGTCGATCCTGGGGCAGCAGGACGTCTAAGCTCGCGGTACAAGACGGTTTCGCACGAGGAAGAGAAAGTGAAAAGCAGTAGTGTAGCAAAAAATAGATCAGGCTTGCTAGCGTTTGCTGACTGAAATACCCCAGTGGAAAGTCGTCACGAGAAAAGTGCGTTGCTATCGTTGGTGATGCGGCGGTGGGTGAGAGGAGGAACAGCCTCGATCATGCGTGCGTGTTTTCGATCGTCGAGACGTTGGAAACAAGTAGGCAGGCAGGCAAACAAGCAGTTGTTGGTTTGGTTCGGGGAGCGCGGGATGCGGGCGGGATAGATGGATGGAGGAGGTTTGGTTATATGTGGATGTACAGGTATGTACGGTCGTCTACGGCGTGGGTCGGAGTGCTGTGGGCATGCCCTGGTTGTGTCAAGTCAACGTCGGGTCAGTCGCAAATGTAGAGGGGCAGGCGAGTCGAACGGGCTTCGTGAGAGAGATTTATCCTGACGTCAATTTACTTGTGGCCCGCCAAACTGGATGTGGAAAAGGGGTGGAAGCATGGGGAGGAGACAGAGTGTGCGTGTCGGCTAGAAGGGGAATGGTAATGGCACGGTGGGAGGGGGAAAAGCCGGGGGGCACCTGCGTGTGGGCGAAAAGTGAAGTGACTCCTGCATCGCTGGCTCGCGGGATCATCGCCGCTCCCCTCGTTCGGCCAATCCCGGAAGGCAATGCTGGGCGTGACGACCTCCGCGGGGTGTACGGACTAGTCCCACTCGTGAGTAATCTGTGGTTTTCTATTGGTCCCGGCTTCTCCTTGGCATCCTGATCAAACATGGTACGTACCGGCTCCCCGCTATGCGCGTTGCGTGTGGGGGATTCGGGCTTCTGGAACTGTCACTCAACAGCGACCGACGGTTCCATCCTCCAGTCACGAGCGCTTCTTATCTTATCCGAGGTCGAACGAACCACTCACTTGGTACTGCGTGGCATTCATTCCTGGCAGGTTGCATCCTAGGTTGGTCTCTGGGTCCAGAAGTGTGACCCGATGCCTATAGTAGGTAATCAACAGTCGTCAACCAACAATCAAACATACATCGTACTCCTCCGGACGCCGCCGACAACACTCAGCCTCCGTTGTGCCGACATACTTCATCAGCATCTTGGAACTTGCCTTTGAGCGGGGGAGCCTGCGTCTGCGACTACCAACTCAGAAAGCTCCGACTCCTCTCCCTCCTCCCAACCTTGTCAAACTCCCGTCCCCTTTATCCAAAGATCAAGGCGAGGCGGCCTACTCCCTGCTGTTCACGGTTCAGCGTGACCAACACCGCAAGGCGTCCACCAACTTAAACCTGCAATTCAACAGCAAGCCATCCAGCTTCACTTGAACACCACGGTGACGATAACGTTTTGGGTGGGTCCTTCATTCTGTACCTCATGTCCAGTCATAGAGGTTATTCCCATGACACATAGCTTTTTTGGAACACTTTGGATTTAAACGCATCCTGTAAGATATTTAGCAGTCCGCGACCACTATCAGATAGATTATTCGGCAAACCCTCGGTCTTGGAGCTCTTGGAAATTATGTTGGAGGAGTTCTTGGTAGACAAATAATCATACGATGGTCAATTGATGGGTGACAATTTGCCGACATCGGGACAAACCGCGATGATGCTAGGTCGAAAAGAACAGTGTCTGGAGTGTGGAGGGGACGCACAGCTTTTGTACAGGTACGTACATGCTATGCTACCTTGCACGGTGCAAGGGGGTTGCGCTGCACTTCAGACGATGCGACCAATAAGCTGAGCATTTTCATAGCAAGGGTACCTTTCTGCAGCAATGTTGTAATGCCCAACTCGAACGGCGGGATTGAATATTTTGGCTTTGCTCCAATGTTACTGCTTAACGTCCTGCTCGAGCCTTAGTTCATCGCGGATCCCATGGCTTGTGAAGCTCGCGGATGGAGCCGTGAAAGGCGCACAACTGTAACCAGTGGTGAGCTAGCAGGGCCGTCACGGGGAGGCAGCCGGACCCAAGACCGGCTCCATCGGTTGCGACCTAATTGTAAGTTTAAAGTTGATGTAGAGTGGCTGCACTGCGAACCCGTATTGCTGCAAACCTGTGCTGATGAGTGTTTATCAGGACGTCCAACGATCAACCAGAAAGGTGGTGATCACGCCGTGAGAAATTTACGCTGAGCCAATAAGCTGTGTATCCTTTGGTGGTTCAAACGAGATTTTTCGAGGTGATACTGCCGAGTGTAGTCTTTTAATATATGGGAGTTCTTCCTGTCATCAAACATATTACTCTTGGGCCAAAAATACCTAGTTGACGACATCTTCTTTCACAAATCCTTTCTTCTATTATAATTGATCAGTCTTATGAAGGGTCCCCAGAAAAGTCACAGTATTACAAAGGGAATAACCCCCGGCGACAGCGAGAAGAACCGCCAGCTACACCCTGTCTTTAATCATTACATCGGTTATATTGCCCGGAATGGTTTTGTGTAAGCTAATATCTGGTAAACTTTTACCCAGGATATTGCTAATTTCTTGCGTAGCCCAATACGCATGATTCAATCTACAATATCTAGAGGGGGTGGGGGGTCAAGAAAGTGCAGGAGTATCTATTATCAGAGGCTCGTCTGCTGCGAACCTCAATTAGATAATGTCTTATCTTGATAGCTTATTCTCTCAAAGGTCTCGAAATACTGAGGAGCACCAAATCTTGCGTTCTTTCACCCTCCAAGTCACGGACCTCACAGACGACAACTATTCACCCGCTCCAACGGCCACCATTAGCGCACCAAGCGCCAGGGTCAGGCATTGGCGGACGTGACAAACACCTAGACGCGAGTGGTCGCTGTGGCTCAGCCGCCTTCTGTCCGGTGTGGCTAAAGTCTGCGACTTAGCATTAACCACAGACGTAGTAAGTTATCTACTATTGCCTCCGCGTATTGACATATTCGGAAATGACGTTTCTCTTCCAGCCGGGTTACTATGCTTATATACTACAGCAGGCCCGGATGTTACACCCGTGTCAGTTGCCACGATATTTTCAAGTATTTATGATGCACACGCTGCGGCTGCACCCAAAACGGAGACTGTGGCTCAAGTCGTGGTGGCTATTAGCCGTAGCCGTGGCTTTAGTTATTGTTATAACTACGTTTAGTAATACGTAGATAGCACTGGAACTTTGCACAGCTACCATGGCTACCACGGCATAGACTACCATACTTGGCCAGCACAGCTGTCGCACTAGTCACTGCCAACCTCATTACTAACATTCGGCCCTCATGCCGATTGGAAGTCAGCGTAACTTTTACGTCTGTTTACGCTTGCAGAAGACTTTAAATTTTCCACAGGAGTTTCCACTCGCTTACGAACATGAGTGATTTCCACAAAGCCGAAAAAACAATGATTTGCACTTGGATAATCCCATAATTCCTCGGTTGTACTTGAACAGCTCAGACACGAGAAGATGGATTTTCAGAGCCCGATATGGCCCCCTCTCATACAAGAAATACACAATTACAGTCTCTCTGGCCTTCCTGGTATATGACATGTTTGCTATAGTGTCGATGGCTGCCGCCGAGAACTTATCATGGGACCTGCGTAGGCGTACCAGTGGTGATACAGAGATATCTTTCGGTCAAGCTGCTGCCATTATTGTTGAGGCAGTGAATGTTGTTGGAGGAATATGGTTACTATATAAGTTATTGAAGCACCTAGAAGCCTTCCACGGTCTCTTTGAGATGGAGGAGGGTTTACTATGGCGCTGGCGATTTATGTGCACATGTACCTATCCCAGACAGCATAAGGATAATTTGGAGGCTACAAATGGACTTCTTTTCTGCCTATGAGATATTGTCGGAATATGCATAATCACGTGACTGCTGTCTGGATATATGTATCCAGCCGGCCAGCAAACAGATGTATCTGAACTTTTCTCTTCTTCACTAATCAATTCAATAAGCACTGTTTTCACCTACGTCGTGACTATATTGCCATGGATCGATTTATCCCTGGGATACCAACAGATATATTCTGTGTTAGGCAGCTTACAAATATGAAATAGTCTCTGGTTGAGGTGCTCTATGCCTTGCGCCTTGGAGATGGCGGGTGTATTCGGCGACCAGCCCGGGTCGGCTCCGAGAAGGAACCACTCTCGGCCGCCGAGTGGCTGCCAAAGATGCGGAGCAATGAGCCACAGCACGTGATCAAGCGAGCACCATGCAAGCCACCCATTTCTAAGCGGAAGATTCCAGAACGCAACGACAACCGCTCGACCCGGGCGAAGGTGGGGTCGGTTGACAGAGAGACCCCTAGAATCAAGTCCATCGGCGCCGGTTCGCTGACGGCGTCCCGTCTTTGAACGAGTGCACTGCTCACCTCACACCTCACTTCACGCAGTCGACGCAGCACGTCAGCGTTGGCAACGGTAGGCGGGCTGTGTTTTATTCCGAAGTTGCACATTGTTCCAAGGCTGTATAGTAAGCTGGGCTGCAGCGACTGGCTTGCCCGACCGTGCTATCAGTTTCCGCCCGTACAGCAATGGTCCCCTAGCCCCCCGGACTCGATCCCAAAACCCGTCTGATCCGCGCAAATCCACGGCCCAAGTAGAACAATCTCCCGGCTTCTGCAGCACTGCCCATCCTCCTTTGGGCTGTCTTTTTACTTTTATTTTCTGCCTCAACGGTCCTACTTGGACTGACTCTTGCTTCTCTCGGTGCCCCCCCCCCCCCCCCCTAGTGCGAGCTTTCTCGACGGATGTAAGGATTCCAGGCAGCCACTGTTCATACGCAGTGGTGGGGTCTTTGTCCGTCGTATAGATGGTTTTATTCTTCATCACCTTTAGGGGATCTGGATATGTTTGAATCTACCTAACTCGAACTTGCAAAATCGGGGAGACCAACAGTGAACCGCGGCTAGCAGACTCTCTATTCCCCGCTGTGTTGCGGATAGTGGCCGCAGCCTTAGTCAGTTGCAAGCCAGTCATACATGGGACTGCCCCTGGCGGGCGCGCAAGGAGCACAGCTCCTCGGGTTGATAGACCGCTAATAACTAAATAGCGTGTGTCCGTACTCGATTTCATATAAC